CTCACAGCGCTTGAGACTACAAAGCTCCTAAGCACCGGTCGCTGTGATTGGTGGTGTCCAATCGAGCCGTGATCAATCGGGATCACCTCAAGTAGCAATCGAATGTGTTAAATTAAATTAAAAAATAAGAAACAATCACATTGGATTGCCAAATAAGATGCCTTTTTATGCTACTGTGTTTTCTTTCCTTCTTCTTTAATTTTAATTGGCCTAAGAATGTTTCTTTCTCGTTTACACTGTTCTATTCCATCTTTTCCTTCTCCATGAGGACTCGCCCTAATGACACCCTAATTATTGCCGTAATTTTGGTCCTACTGCGCGTTCCTCAAGTTGTCTCACCTGTCTTTCACCATGATCTCAGTAAAGAGATCAAAAACAAATTTGAACCGTACTCCGTACTTAGTCGTGAGCTAGTCACAAATCACGGTATTAAAGTGCGGAGTGCGGTACGATAGTAGAGTCTCGTTTGCTTGCTCGAGTAGGACGGACGCTCGTCTGCCCTGCTTCGGGTATTGCATCATTTCATTAATTTTTTGAAAAGCGATTCCGGCTTTAACTGTGATTAGTAAGCATGGCCATGTTCACCTCGTTGTCGAGGGCCTGGGCCAATTAAATTAATAAGAAGAAGAAGCGGTACGATAGTTCATCTGAAATTCATCCTGTTATTCGTGAATGAGAATAAATAACGAGAGTGCAATGAGTGCGAGTATGAAGGAGACAGTGCATAATTTGAGCAATGTTGTGAACAACGAACATATTCACGGGAATGAAGAGGTAATTTTATAATAAGCGATGGCTTTTCTCCCTTTACTCATCTTTCCGACTTTTTACAGTACTCCTATTACTTTGCAAAAAACCGTATGATGTCTTTCTCATGAGAATTACTTCGGATTTTTATCAATTTTTATTGTGCGCATAGGTTATGTTCCACAAACTGAAACCTGATTCAATTGATATATCATTTATTATTCTCTTCACCTTCTGTCATTTAATTCTCCGGAGCTGACAAATCTGTCAGATCTGTAACATTATAATTACTAATACTGTATCTGTGAAACCATTAGCCATTTGATTAAAAGTATGTTAATTAATTTCAAAGAACCAAAATAACATAACTCATAAAAAAGAATGAATACTAAGTTTATTTTAATGACAATAATTTGAAGGACTTTGCACTAATTATATGACAGGATTCTAATGAAATGAGTTTTCATACATAGGATGATTTCTTGTAAGAGAAACTGATAACGATATTACACAGTGAATTATTCCATCCTGATTATTTGCCAATGTTAAACAGAGATTAAATAATCACCATGTTACATTATGTTATATTGGATCTCTTATTGGAAAATACTAATAATGTAACTTATAATGTGATAAACCAAATATGTCATATGTTAGTATTTATAGTTGGTTTTTATTTTAATGTCATCTTAAAGTAATATAAGTTTTAATATGCTAATATAGCTCTATATATGATTAACTTGTGACATCTTAAGACTGTACTTAAAACAGATTATACTTGTATAAATGCATGTACCTTTTTTAAATACAAGTATTCTGCATAAAACTTGTCAAGTAATCTTACAAGCATAATTACATAAAGAGTTAAAGTTTCTAAAGAACAAAATTGTCCTAGAAGTATTTGTTATATTCTTAACGCTCTACTTTATGATTCTAGCAGGCAATCATCTCTGAGGAGTCATCAGCCAAGCAGAAGTTAAGGAGCTGGCTAAATCGACATCTACGTATCGAAATGACCGATGGAAGAGTGTTGAGGGGAGCGTTCTTATGTACAGATCGTGATGCCAATGTTATTTTGGGCTCGTGTACCGAATATTTATCTACGGAGCACACGGAAGCGAGAGTCTTAGGCTTGGTGATGGTGCCCGGTCGACATATTGTCTCGATTCATTTAGATGTTTGAAGCAGCGCTGCTCTTGCAAGTCTGTAAATATTCTCTTCCTATGTTTATTTATTATATTAACGTGTGTGCTGTGTGTTGAATTATGTGAGTTATTTGCATATGTATATATGTCTTGAGATTTCAAAAACTTGATTTTTATGATACATATAGGTTTGCGAAAAACGAGAGGTATAAATTTTGCTAGTAATGACATGTTTATATATCTACCACTTATATTGAACCTATTTATTACATCTTATTGATTTTATTAAAGCAAATTTGAAAATATTATAAATGTAATGAAAAAGTCATACAATTCTTGAATACATGACAAAATTAAAGAGATTAGTGAGGCATGCTTTATTCGAATTATATTTTTATAATAAAAATGTTATGAATTCTAGATCATAAGAGAAATATTTAAGAATAAAATAATCTTTAATATCTCATACAACTTTAATACAATAGATTAGTATATATTTAATGAAAAGTAAGAAAAAAAGAAAATAATTAAATAACATTGATATTAACGATGTACAAAACATTAGCAAATGTGAGGAAAATTGTTTATTAATATAGATACACAATTATTTTTAATTTTTTTAAGAAACAAATAAAACGTATTTTGAGAGAGAATGTTGAACTCTTTCCTAAAAAATTTATTGTTTCTCTATATCCTCTTTACTACCTTTGATGCACTGTTCCTGTATACGCCAGTATGTTCGTTCCAACTCTGTATTGTTGTAAGTTTCCGCTTTTACCTTACTTAACGCATCTTCTATCCTCTGTTGAAGTGTACTGGTCAAACTATCCATCTCACACATATAACTTAATTCTGCGCTAGCTACTGCCATTTTATGCACATAATCCATATAGGTAACCAAGCGCTAATTAAAAAAGAAATTACATTTTAACTTGTATAATTTTAAAAAATTTGTATGGTACAAAATTGTGTGTCTATAATGCAATGTTATTTATATTTTCTTGTATAAAAGAATTTTTATATTTTCTTGTATAAGAGAATTTTTTGGCTTTACTTGGACTGTGATATTTAATATATAACATTTTACATCAAGCAAGAATTGTAGTTTCTCAAACAGTTCTTTATTACCGTAATCTTTTCTTTCTTGTCTTGCATTTCATTTCGTACTTCCACAATCAGATCCCAGTGTGCATCATTTACGTTGTGTATTATAGTTTCTTCGAGAAGAGAAATGAGTTCGTTCAACAATATTCTACAAAATTATCATGATAAACATTATCACAGAGATATCTTATTTTCCTCTAGATGTATATTATTTTTTTACCTGTATGCGACGCTCAGATCTATTATAGCCATATACGTGACAGTTAATGCCTGGGTTGCACTATTAGCAGCATCCAATGCAGATTGTTTTATCATATACTCATGGGTTAGCTTTTTTATGTCTGGAGGGTCCAGCTTCAACTTCTCATTTTCACTAGGCTTGTCGAATGAGGTATAATGTGCAAATAACATACCTGATGTATACTGCAAATAAATTATGAGTTTCTTTTAATGTAATTAAAAATAGAAATTAAAATATCGCATGAAATGTATTCTTACCATTACAGGACTAATATTTTTCCATAATTTTGTGAAAATTTGACGCATTGTCATACTTTAACAATATAATTAATTCTCTGGAGCTGATACTAAAATCTGTAACACAATCACTGATGCTATTTGATTTATATTAATTAAAAGATATTAATTTCAAGGGACAAAAATAATATAACTCGTATAAAAACGAAAGAATATTAACTATATTTTAATAGAAATAATTCAAATTTTCAAATGTAATGTAAAAAGAAATATTTTTATAGAGATTTATAATTAGAGGTTTATAGTGTGAGTCCAATATAAACCTACCATCAACATTCCTTAATGTACAGTCTAACCACGTTTTTGTTTTTTTAATTTATTAAGACCGACAATTTCTGGCAACTTTTCTATTCTTAATTTTTCCTTTAAAGTCTTCACTCACATATTTCTCACATTAACGTAAATAAAAGCACGTTTTGATTTTTAATGTTTAGAAAGAGAAATTCGAAGAGCGCGAGTGAAAAAGGCAGACGATACTGTGTACATAACCTCACTAGTAAAAGTCGGCTGATAAAGCAAAATTAGGCAGAAATTAAATTTATAGAAATTTCAACCGATTAAGAATAAGAAGACTGGAAGAAAATATAAAGATCTGTGATTGCAATATTTAATTTTTTTATCCGCGGGAAATTAAATTTTTTAATAATTTTGTCATAAATACTTATAACAAAAATAATAATGACACACACAATACAGTTTGTCTCTTTATTCCAATATCTTTCCTCTCCTTTCTCTCTTTTATATATTTTTTATTAGTTCAAATTAATAAATACGAATAATATTTAAATTTACAATTATAAATTGGAATGACAATTTCTTTAATTTTAACGCCCTTTAATTTGGCAATAGAATATGTGATTTTCAAAGAATTCATTTAAATTGTGTAGCCAAAGAAACAATTTTATCTTATATAATTTTCAAGGAACAGGTTATTTTTTATCTATCTTACATCGTGTAAATCGTTATATTCATTTACAAAATAATCAATATTCTATACATTCTATCTCACTTTTTTAAGAAATTATTAGAAACGTCATACCTGTTTAATATGATATCGTAAATAATGAAAAAAATAGACTTATGTGAATCTTCGTTTATAAAAAAGATGATACAAATCAATGCATTATATATAGGAAATGTGACAAATTCATTTGAAAACTACTGATATACATGTACATTTGTGAGAATGTAAGATTCGTAACTACATTCCCCGAAAGAAAAAAGATCCGTTTTTTCTGAAAGATATGCAAGAATTGTTTTATGAACGAAAATTATTTTATGCACGTTCTCATCATTCGTGTTTTTACAAGCAATAGTATGCTTTATACTGCAACTTCACATGATAGTATACTAATTAAAACATATGCTTGCAGCAGAAGCATTTTACATGTAAAGTCACAAATTTATACTGTAAAAATTCAAGATAAATCTCACACTGGCCAGTTTTATGCGTGTCCGCGTATCAAACAAATAAATTGTCACGAGCTGCTATCGCTTGGCACTTGTGTAACACAATTATCTTTGATAAGATCGACAATTTTGCAAAACTAATATAATGAATGAACGGTGAAAACCATATCCTTGTATAAATAGATACATATTATGAATTAAATGGAACAGCTTATATTCACATTCGCAGAATAATAACTTATACATTGGCAACGCATAAGAGAATTCCCGCTTCGATCTTAAATGCACCTGACGAAAATAATCTACAGAAAAATTGCCTAAATCGACGAGTATCGTCGATCAACAACAGAGAATCACACTTTTAAATAAATTATTTCTTATAGTTCATGATGTGTTTCTTTCTGAACTTCCTCTTTAGTTAATGGTTTCTCACTTTCTGGTAGCTGTAACGGATCCTGTGTGGTATCTGTTGTTTCTGATGTTGGTTCTTGTTGCTGCTCTTCCACATTGTCGGACGGTTGTTTTTCCGCAGATTTGTCATTTTTAGTATCAGAATCGGTTGTAGATTCTTTATTTTCTTCTATTGTGCGCTCGGCCTTACTATCTGTTGTTTGATTTGCCGTAGTTTCTTGTTTTGGTTTCCAAATCTTTACCTTGTTTAGAAGGTATTTAATTTCTCTATCGAGTAGATCCATTTTATTCACGATTTGGCGGATCTTGTATTTTACTGGTATATTTAGCGGCGCATCCACGAAATATTTTGAAATCATATCATAATAATCCTAAAATATCATTTTTTTTATCACACTAATATTATAAACTTACAATAATAGCATGTTTCAATTTAAAAAATCGCTTTAGATATTAAAAATAAATCATTACCTGTGTCTCATTAATTGCTTTTTCTAACGTCTCGATTTCAACAGACGTAATGATTTCACTCGTTAGACTCAAATTGCGCATATTCTCTAGGAACAATCTACTGCCTTTGAGTAGCGAAACCATTCCGTTTAAGACCTCCGGCCGATCTCGGTACTCGGAGACCCTTTCGTAAACGTCGTTGGTTAACTTTTGGAGTTCCATCAACTTCTCTTCGTACACTTCCGCGGTCGCGGTGAATCCGTCCTCGTATAACCACTCGGAGATCTCGGCGCACGCTTTTCGAATCTCCTCGATTTCCTTATCAGTAGCCGCGTCCGAAAATTCCTTGGAATCGAACTTCTGCTGCGCGTCAATTACATATGACTCGAGATTGTTCAACGCAGTCTCACGACGCGCTTTCTCCGAATCGTGCACGTCCAAATGATGTATCCTAAAAGAAAAAAATAAAATGTTAGTAAAATAGTAGAAATTATATGTATCATAATTATGCAGATTATATTTTCTTGTTAAAAGAAAAGAGATAGTGGCAATAAAAAATTAAAGTTACAGTAACAGTTTTATTTAACAAATTTAAATTAGCAGAATATTAAAGATGGAAATAATTTCTTAATTACTTCACATTGCAAATAAATATATAATATTTATGCTCACTTGTCTCGAGTTTCTGTGAGTTTTTCACCGGACAAAATTTGTGATCCTAATTTGACTTCTTTCGAACTGATAGGTTCTTTAATTTGAACAATCGTAGCCTTCTTTTCTTTGTCCACCTTCTCGGTTTTATTTGCAGTCTTCTCTTCGTTCACTTTTGTCTCGCTTTTCTTTTTCTCCTTCTCGTCTGTCTCTTTTGTCGATTCCGCAAATTCTGGCTCTTCATGCACTGGTTTTACATCCTCCTTTGGCGGTTCCTCTGTCTTTTCCACCGTTTCTTTTTCTAAAGAAGAACCTGAAAGATTAAGATTTCATTTCATTTAATGTGTTTCTCTCTATACTTGCATAATTTATAGTCAGGGCCTAGAGTTTTATGTCGTTGACAACTAATTGCGCAAACTTAAGCGCAATTAATTTGTCTTCAAAATTTCACCTTATATAACGAAATAATTGATGCGAATATTCCATGAATACAAAATATTACCGTTAATACAACAGGAATCATTCTATTAACATAAATTATTCTATTAATGTATAAATTTTTAGAGTTTGTATTGCTACAAAAGTTTAATTGTTAACGGCAACAAAATCTAAACCCTACTCAGTGATAATACTATCTATTTTTTTTTAAAAGCATCTACTTATTCCTTGATATAAAAATGCTTGCAAAAAATGATTTCAAAACGTAACATGAAATAACTTTTTAATTTTTATAAAGTTATAAAAATAACACAAGTCTTTCCTTGAGAAATAAAACAGTTCTTCAATATATATCAACAGAATATAAAGAAGAACTAGTATAGTGCAAATATCATCAAAATTGTGATTCGCAACATGCAACAAAAACAAATGTATCATTTTTTGCATTGCCTTCGGCACAAACCTGCAAAGAATTTACTAATAGTTGAGCCAAGTATTGAGAAAGTACCCTCTTCTTCATCAACAGTACTCGATTTTTCGGAAACTAATTCTACAGTCAATAAATTCAATACGCCGCTATCATCTATATTAAAGTGCACTTTGATTCCTTTACTCTCGGCGCCTTCGTTGGCATGCTTTTCTAAAGCTTCGGCTACCCCACTCAGCGATATAGTAGATAAATGTAAATCACCAATAGAACTGTAAAAAATTCAATCTCTATAGTTTTAGAAGTATGAACATTTTAATATTTAAAATAACATTAATTTATTTTCTGTGTTAATTCGTTCCTAGTATTACAAATAAATAATAGCTATAGATACTTACATTACCTCACTAGCAGGCAAATAATCTAACTCAGCATAATTTACATGAAAATCGAAATTATTCGTGTGTTTATTAAATGTAATAATCTTTTTTTGTGGAAAAGGATTCATTCTGCCAAATAACGTCTTCTTCACCTATACAAAAATAAATTTTAAAAAGAAAAAATATACATATATACAAGGATTAAAATATATATAAAAAAAAGTTAAATATCATATAATAATCTTTTACCTGTCTAACTTTATTATCAACAGTTCTATCAAATGTGATTTGAATAGGAAACAACAAAGCATCTTTCGTGACAAACTTCTTGACCTTGAAACCCTGACTAAGATCAGCTGCTTTATACGCAGCTCCTAAAGCAGCTGCTTCATCCGTATTTACATTTTTTGATAATTCTGTGTTTACATATTGGGACAATGTCTCTTGTACCTTTGGCATGCGAGTACCTGCCCCCACCAATACAACATGCGATATGATATCCATTGTCAAACCTAAAATAATTTCACGTAAATACATTTAGTGTTTAAGTACATATTTGCAAGAAACATGATAGTGTTCTTTCAAAAGATAGTCACCTGAAGTTTCCAATGCAACCTTCACAGGATTTGCTACACGTTCAAATAAATCGGCGCATATCTCTTCCAGCTTCTCTCTCGAGACTTGCAACTTGAAGTCAATATCATCTATTAAACTTTCTATCTGGGCAAAGTGGTCTGCGTTGGCACTAAGTACAGTTTTGACGCGTCCAGCTTCCTTAAAGAGCTTCGCCATTGCTCTCGGGCTCTTGAACACAGAGTTCGGCGTCTTTTTAAGAGCGTCAAACTCTTGTGCTAAATAATGCTGCAATCTGATTTGCATTTCCAATCCCCCAAGCGTGCGATCGTATCCCACACCCAATACAGTAACATGAGGATTGGTCTCGAGAAAACCCCTCTCTTTCGTTTTTACGTTTTGGTAACTAACGACCGTCGCAGTAGTGCTGCTAGCTCCCATGTCATAAAACATAATGTAATGAGCAGAATCGTTTATTTCAGTTCTACCGAATACGCCATAATTTAAAGCTACCGCCATGTAATCGTTTATGAGCTGTAACACTTTCAAACCGGCAAGTTCCGCCGCTTGAATCAGTGCCTTCCTTTCAGCCTGATTGAAGAATCCCGGCACGGTAATAACAGCTTCGTTGATCTTCTGATGGGCGGAAGCTTCTGCGATCTCTTTGCCTTTGTGCAATATCTGTGCGAGTAGTTCTTCCGGAGTGAACGTCGTGTTTTCATTTAATCTAAATATTACAGTTTTCCTTTCGTCATCGGCAATGATGTCGTAGTAAGGAAATCTTTCTCGGTAGAGTTGTACTAGCGGATTGTCTATAGGTTTTCCTAGAAGGTCTAGAATGTAGAAGAAGGTGTTCTGAGGAAATCTCACTCCGATTACTTGAGCATCCTCGCCGAACGATCTCTCTCCATCCCTGAACGCAATCGTAACCGGTGTTTTCCTCTTTGACTCCTTGTTTAAAGCTATTTCCATAGGAACGCCAGGCTGCAGATCAAAGGTATTTCATAAGAAACTCATTTTTTTTAATATAAAGATGTAATAGTTATATTTGATTAATAAAGCTTTGGCTGTGTCCAGTAGAGAAAGTAAGCTTTATAACTGTTGTAAAATTCTTTGATATAATTGGGATATACATTTGGCTGTGTTCGCTTTGGCGTTCATAACACTTTAAGCATCATTTCATCCTTGTTGTTTAGTAAATATTAAACAAGAACAATTGATACTCGCAAGCACTATGAGCAGCAAAGCAAACGCAGCCTAGTTGGGAGATTAAGGGCAAGTCATATTAAAGAGTTGTACGATAGTTGCAAAGCTACTTTCTCTGCTAAATGCAGCCTTTCTAATACAAAAACCACCAGTCCGTTGGATTGGTTACAAGCAGATGTCACGTACCGAGACGATAGCGACCTTCATCCATTCACTACCAAGGTCGATGCTCATAACGGCAAGTTCTTCGCTGATGCCGACGAAGGTGGCGATTATGAGTAGGGCTAGTGAAGCCATCGACATGCCTCTCTGTGAGAGTCCCATCTGGAAATCGAGACAGACGTGAAGTAAGATCGCGACAAGGAAATCCATATGATAACTCAAGAATGTTAACGTGCATGCTCACGCGGATCAAGGCACGAGAACTACGTACTGTCATGCTCTGTCTAGCTGTCAAACTTGGTTATGAATACCGGCGACGTGAGGCACGTCGATCGGGAAAGCGGGCGGATTAACGCGCGCTCACCTTGAGCTCAGGTCTTGCGACGACACACGACGTACTTAGGGGAAACGGCTCTCAGCTGTACACCATTCAGAACACACGTTCGCGCATCGCAGTCCCTTTTAAATCAACAAAAAGCCGAGCGTGACACCCTCGCCGCGACCACTCTCCGTGGAATTCAGTGCCGACGAGCACCATGTGTTGGTGTGGCACGTCGCGATTGGCCGAACGCAGCACAACCACCGCTCCGCCGTTGGTCCGCGTTGGCAAATTGGAGCCAATTGTATCGCGCAATCCGCGCAGATGACACCAATTTTTCCAGGGGCATCAGCAGGAAAAATAAGGATGTGGGCTTTAAAGGCTAATTTACAATGTGCTCTTTGCTTTCTGTTTCTTGCTTTTTTCTTCCTTTGTGACAGTTTTATTGATAATCTTATGTTTCTTGTCTCTTTCGGAGTTCATTAAATTTTATTTCAGGTGATAGAAAAGAAACAGATAGCAGAGAGCGCATCGTAGATTAATTTTAAGGCGATCCAGTAATAAATCAGAAGCTAGAAATTGACCAATCACAATCGAATGTAAGAAAAATAATCGACGATTGGTCAATTTCTAACTACTGACTTTTAATTTATTATTAATGAGAGAGATAATAATAATAGATTAATCAATTCTCTGTGTCATTTTGATTAAATTTTATTTCACTTAAGGCTGAATAATTTAAATATGCATGAATTGCAGCAGGATTGCCTAAGCTAAAAATTTTCTTTATATTTTTTTATTTCTAATCTATGGTGAATTCGGTTACTCGTACTGGATTACTGCAAATCGTATATAAAGACTACTTCATATAAATATATCTGAATGCAATGGCATAATATAATCTCAACTTTGATAATGAAATAATATCTACATATTTCATAACATTCTATTAAATAATGTGATAATATTTATTATTATTATTGGATATTTAAATGTGATAATAATTATTATTGGATATTTAAATGTTTAAAATATTTATATACGCTTTTACATTTAATTTTGCTAATTTCATGTATAACAATCTTAAATATGCACTAATTTAGTGTAATGCAAGTGATCGAATTCGCTGTCTTTTCTCACATGTCATCAATGATAAAAAATTAGTTTATCCATATTAACAAAATACTGCAATTATTACTTGACATTTAAAGTTTAATTAAAATTTCATCTTGCACGCATTCTTGTATGGTTCTGTAAATTTATGTGTGAATAGGTTTCAAAATGTATTCAAACTAATTTGTAAAAAAGAAACATATATCAAGCAAAAAGAATTAATCATATTGGAGGAAAGTACTTACTTTGAAGAAGTTAAATCTTGTTCACTAAATCAATGTTTAAAAATTGTTTCTTGGAACACAGTTCATTTATTTAACTTCAATATATCAGACATTTGTGATTATCTTTCTTGTAAAAGTATCAAATAGAAGATACCAATGAAACAATGAGAAAGATGTATAAATATGGGATCTGATGCACAGATCGAAAAGTTATCGATGTGATTTAAAATTATTAGCATAGCGTAAATAGTATATAATTCTATCACACAAAAGTCGATAATCTAGTTTCCTTACATTTACAGTAAATTACATATATATATATATGCATATTTGTAACTTGTAATTACTATCTATTTTCACGGTTCTGATATAAATAAAAATTCTCACATGTATAAAGAAATGTTTATAATAAGAGTAAATTGTTGCAATCGAATTTAATTTCACGCTCGAATGTTGATGTTGTGAGTTTCTTCAGCTGAGCTTTGCTTGGTGTCGATTTGACTATGCGGCAATAAAAATATTTTACATCAACAATACGCACATCTATTAACCCCATTGATCCTCGGATCGACCAAATTTATATGTGAGCGAGCCCAAGAAAATGAAAATATTCTGCAAGAACAATCCTACTCCTGGCCAATGATGTGGTGCGCCTATAAAAAGATATTAAATATAACAAATAAAGTAAAAGAAAAAAAATAAAAACAAATTCTGCAATATATTCTTTGTAGCCAAACTAGTGTACACTCATTGTATTTAAAATGAAATATATATATTTGAAGTTTGGTGAAAGTAAGTTTTAATGCAGTCCAATGCAATGACAAGAATAGATTTACATATGTATTGCACTGTTACGACTACCTGTTGCTACGAAATTGGCAAACAAGATCCAACAGGCTGCTATTACTGCTGCAAATCCCATGACGAACCCAATAAACAGCCAACTTCGAGCACCTCTTGCTCCTAAACAACCGCCATTGTAAGCTTCTCCTCTTATCTGTGCATTTGTTACTGAATTGACCCTAAAAAAATATATAATTATTTTTCAAATCAATAGCATTATGTATATACACAATATAACAATAAGAATTCTATTACTGATACATTTTATTGCAATATACCTTGACCAAAAATATTAGATACCTATATTTTTCATTTATCTGGAACTTTTTTACCTGTATTGTTAAGGGCAATTTACAAATGTCATACATTAATTTTTGAGCTAAAACTTTAAATCAGGCCTGTAGTCGAGTTGCACATTTTGATCGATTTTACCTATTGTCATCCCCACTCTTTTTGTTTCATAGCATTTAGATTACGCGCGGAGACATTAAATGGTCGAACTCAGGGATGATATTAGCTGTAACTCATACAGAGCACTATAGGGCTAGGACTTTGAAACATATTGCCTCACATTCACTATTTATAAATTTTTATTATTGTAATTATAATTATTATTATGATGTTAGAAATTCAATTTATGTTAAAAATGATTTTTTTTTTTTCAGTTTACAAACTTCATTAACATACGTGTTCTATTTTGAAGTGTTACTTTTGAGTTTTTAACATAATAATAATAATAAAAATTTGTAAACAGTCAATGTGACGCAATATGTTTCAAAGTCCTACAGCCCTATAGTGCCCTATATAAGTTACTAATATCATCCCTGAGTACGAGCGTTTTATGTCTCTGTGCATGATCTAAAAGAAGTAGGGATGATAGGCAAAATTAATTGAAATGTGCAAATTGGCTGTAGGTCTGCTTTAAATAATAGTTAATAAGATACTTACTATTTTTGGCCAAAGTTTACATATACTATTGATAATACTAATATTAATATTACTTACATGAAGAGTGATATAGTACCAAACACTCCACAAACATGGTATGCATTTGACATTTCATCAGGATATTTTGCGTGCGCATCTATTATAAACCACCATCCTACGAAAAACTGAAACAGCGTTTCGGTAAGATTTTCAGCTGCAGGAGGAAAATTGAGAAATGCAAATCGTTGAAAGCATACAACCTTCGTACAAAATTAATATCTACAATATCATATGATACTCCGAGACTCAATAAAGAATCAAAGAAAGGCAAGAGAGCATATTAGAAATCGTTGTTTATCGGTAAATGTATTTATGAGAGGTATATATGTTTGTTTATCGTGGCAAAAATGTCGTGGGTATGAAACCCATGGATTTACCAGTGTGCCTGCAAGCATCGAAACAAGTGCATTTCTCTTCTCGCCGCCCTCGAACCAGATGCAGGATGGCACCTGCATATTCTCGAAACAGGACGTCATCCTCGCCGCGGCTCTCGAAAAATGCAGGGATTCCGTTGACCTCCGCGGTTGGACAGATAATCTCCTAACCTTATAAAAGCAGTGACAGATATCATCAACATATACAACATATACAACGTAGTACTGAAAGGCATAGACACGGTAGATGGCGGTGCCGAAGATCGCAACAGTGGCGCTATAAAAATTAGTGTAATTTTCATTAGCAGCCAATGAGGAGATGTAGATAAATTACATGGCTGCGTTCAGTGGACTCAACAGTTTAGCGAGCGCTCGCTGCTATTGGTGAATTCTTCTAGATTTAAAGATCTGATTGGATGATCTAAAAGAATACACCCATAACAGCGAGTGTTTACTGAACTGTTATGGAGCGCCAAATGAGTGCACTTTTATTCGGTTCCTTATCAGTTTCTTTCATCAGTGGACAACCACGTGGGTTCAGTTTGACGTTTCGGAGTTTCGGGTGAGTGCTCGTTTCCTCCTTCACTTTCACTATTTATTTCTGAATCGACGACATATTTTGTGATTTATTGATGTGCAATTTCGGTGACGTTTGTTTTCTGATGATTGTAGGTATGGCAGTCGATCTGGGATTTGTAGAGAAATGCGAGAACTGGCGACTCGAGAGCAGATTCTTTCCCAGTAAAGCAGGCGGTAAGCCGGCCTGGCTCAATCTGAAAAATATTCCCGGCAAAGGCGACTTGGAATGCGAGTACTGTGGTGATCCTTGCGTGTTTCTCTGTCAAATCTATGCACCGTACGAGGAAGACTCCAATGCATTTCACAGAACTGTCTATATCTTTGTGTGCAAGAACGCAGATTGTTGTAGGCCAAATCAGAATGGGAACCTAAAAATCTTCCGATCACAGCTAAGTAGAATAAACGATTTTTATCCGGCTGAACCACCTGTGGAACGGAAGGACTGGGGAACGGATATTGGTATAGTATTATGATACAAGCTATTTTTCTGTAGTAACTAATAAAACTATGATTTTAATAAAAATATACAAGTTATGATTTGTTATCTTTGCAGACGTATCTCAGTGGACAAAAACATGCCGCATATGTGGAATTTTAGCGCCTAATCACTGTGGCAAATGTAAAGTGGTCAATTATTGTTCCCGTGTTCATCAAGTATATGACTGGAAGAATGGACATAAAGATGTATGTGGTACTGAAGCAAAAAATGAGAATAGTTTTCTGTTTCCTGAATATGAAATCGTGATGGAAAGCGACAGCATTGCAATGGAAAATGTCGACCAAAATGAATCCAACAGCGAAGAAAAGGAAATTGAAAAATATAATTCAATAATACAGGATGGCAAAGCTGGAATATTTCAGAATGAAGATGTTAACGATGATTTATTACAAATGTCTAACGACGAAAAGGATGAAACATTTGCAGAGTTTCGTCTAAAAATAGATAATTATCCAGATCAGATTTTGAGGTATGTCGCTTTAAAAAATTAAATTTATAGTCACAGCCTAATTGATATTTATTTGACAGATACGATAGAGGAGGAAAAGTTTTATATATTTCATCACACGGTCAGATAACGGATGTACCAAAATGTCCAGAATGCAATGGCGATAGACAATTTGAATTTCAAGTATGTTCATTCATATATAAATGGAGTCAAGATTGTGTGTTTATTATAAAATATAATTTCTCTCTCTCTCCCTCTCTCTCTGTATATATATATATATATGTGTGTGTGTATGTATATATAATATAAATTATGTAAACTGATCAATATTCATAGTCTGTTCTTATCTTAAGACTGTCTTAAGATGCTAATACATCTCTGTGGTTGGTTTACGACATCTCAAGATTGTATTTAAACAAGCTATCTTAGATAAGAACTGATTAAACTTAAAACGTAAATACTTCATGTAATCTTGTTTTGAAATATACTGCACAATCCTGAATAAAGTTTGAAAGTATTATGTTAAATTTTATAATATAAAATCAAATAAGTTTTGCATATTTAAAATTAATAAAATTTTTTATTTAACAAAATGTCATATTTCTATCTAAATTAAAAATATGATTTGCAGATAATGCCGCAACTATTAAATTTTCTCGACTTAAAAGATGTTATCAAGTGCTTAGATTGGGGAATATTGGCCGTTTACACATGTAAGAAATCTTGCATACCTAAGAATAAATATATAAAAGAATACATATGGAAACAAGACATTGTACAAGATGAAAGTGAATCGAGAATAAATCAAAGTACATGACTACACTAAACTTTATTTGATATACATTAGAAGTCTTTCGCCTCTTCCTCTTACATCTTATTTCGTTATAAAAAAGTAGTCTATTTTTAAAAAATTAGAATATTTCTTTATGTATTTTTATTAATCAATGTTTATTGCCCCATTTTATAATGTTATAGTTTATCCAGTAAAGAAGACTTTAATGGCATATATAGATTACCTATATATGTCATTTTATTTTTGTTTTATGAATGATAAAGATGAATGAATGATAAAGATAAAATGATACAAATAATGCTAATAGCATATTCCTGAACACACCTATAATATTACGAAGTATGAAATACAATAACATAATGTAAAAAAATTAAATAATGTAAGAATCTTTGATACTGATTTCTGTTGACATCTACTCCGGTAAATGCTACTCCGAAAGCGGAAACGGAGCAGGCAGCGACACCGCGCTCACGCACGTCACGCGTAGGATAGCTTTCGATAAAACCGGCGTATCACAGCGTCCTGGCACGAGTTGCTCAAATTTTGGCAAGAGAGATACTTCGCTCATCTGTCGAGTGCTCGTCAGTTATACCAGAGAGGAACCTCTCTGGTTATACTCTGGTTATTCTAACCCCGACCAAATCCTGTAGGTTTCTCCGTTTTCTTTTTGATACAGATCTTTTTACGCTTTTCATTCCCTCCGATAAGAGAGAGAAGGTTTTACAGAAGACTCTGAGTATTAACGCATTCCGTTATACATTTACGAGTTACTGTATTATAATTCGGACAACTCTTGTAATAAATTAAATAAAAGTTAGTGTTCGTGTGTGAATAAAAATGACTGATATTTAATCTTATTTTGCTACCGTACCTAGTGTACTGCCTTACACAACTTCCCGTTGTTTCCTGACAAAAATGTCTTACATATAAAGAGTAAGACAATTACTATTCCTTTCCTAGCAATAATTAGGAAGGTATTTAAATTAAAATAAAAAAATCCACGATATATTCATTATAATCTCAGAACAGGGAATCTATTTATTACAGTCCCAAAAGTGGAATACGATCACATTTCTTACAGTCTCAAAGAAGTAAGATATAATTCTTTATCTTATCCTTACAATACATAGTTTACAAATATAACAACATATGCAGTTTATATATTTTCTTTTGTACATAAAAATATGTTATAAAAATAGAACTTTGACGAGGTAATTGTTTTCTGAAAGTATCATTTACTTTAAGAATCACATATTATATAGTATAACGATAATGTAACGATAGAAAACAGGCAGACTATTGTAATACCTATATTATGATACAACTATTAAAGTTATAATAAGTCACAAAGTAAAATCAAATATAGCAATCGTGATACATTTTGCTTTCATTTTCAGCAGGGAAAATGTAAAAACAAGATTATACCAATAAAAACTTTTTAGGTTACAATTAACTATCTGGATTAATATTAAAATCAAATCTTGCATTAATATTAAATGCAAGAGAAATACGTGCCTAAACCGAGGGGGTAACCACTAAAAAATAGATGTATACCTGGACTTCGGACTTCAAGACTTCACTAGAATTCACCGGAATTCATCGGACTTCAATCGGACTTTATCGGACTTCTGACAGATTGTACACCGGAATTCAAGAGTGATTACCCCCTCGGTGTAAACGCATATTACATATAAAAAATAAAATTATATAAAGTACATGCGCGTACACAATTATTGATTTTCTTCACTTTAAAACTACGAAATGAATAATTAAAATCGTTTTCTTAAAAAATGTTGTTTTATAACACTATTTGCGATCTTTTAAAAATACTAGTTATTATACGATTATAATACATATTGCAAGCATTATAAATGAGATATTAGATGCAACCTTATTATACACATACGTAAGATTATTAGTTTTATTAGTAATGTTTCACCATAAACATTATAGTCGAAAGAAATCCAAATAATTGACTTATACAAAATTACTTTTAAAAATGTGTCTTAAAAAAGATAATTTTATCTAATAAAGTATCTTTTCTTTTATGATTCAGCAATAACGCTACGTAATACTGATAAACTTTCATTGCAATAGTGTTTAAAACGTTTAAGCGTTAAAATTGACACAGCCTTTGTTAAATTATGTGAGAGATCATACGGATCTTGCACACACATAGGTGAATCAATACGAAAATATTCTCGTTTGTCGCCTCGCAATCGCACCATGTAAAGTGCCATAGAATTAGGTAAAATCGGTACTTCAGTAAAAGCTTTCTTTTGGCACGTCTCGCCTAATAATGGACATATGACAAGACGCATGTAATCAAAACCTCCGTAATATTCGAAAAATCCTAACAACAGTTCATGTATTGGTTGTTCTGGTACATTGATAAGAATAGCATCACTAACTCCAGTTTCCCAACCTAGAATATAACAAGATATCGATATTATATTATAATTATGCCAAACCTAAAATACAAATATGTATAAAATTATGATTTATTATTATGGCACACACACACACACACACACACACACACACACACACACACACACACACACACACACACACACA